TCTGATACATTCTTTAACTTGAAGATATACAACGAACTAGAATTCAACCTAATGATTGGAGCAAGGACACGATATTTTTGAACACTTAAACAAAAACTAATGGCGTCGTGTCTGCCTCTCGTTGCCAGTCCATGAAGTAACTTACTATATCTAACAAATTTAGGGTCGTCTGCAAAATCATCAACAATGATTAAAATTGAATGTAGTTTCTTCATCTTCTGTTCTTTCATATAATGAATTATCTTTCTTTGTGTGTTAATTATTTCTTCCAGTTCTTCAGGTTGGTAGGTGTCATAATATAACTTTTCTTTTTCATCATCAACCTTCATATTATCTTTTTGATATTTCTTGACTTCAACGAAGGTAGGGTCATTATGAACCGACGGGCTAAAAATGAATATACGGGCGAAGCAGTCCCTATAAACATTTAGGATAAGGTTTTGAATTAAAACTGTTTTGCCACCCGTTGATGAAGCAACAACAATTGAGCGAAAAGGTAGTTTTGGCACATGTTCATATTTAGATTGTTTGAAATCGTAATCAGTTATATTTATTGGTTTTATTATTGGAACATCAGACATAATAAAATAATATTAAAGTTATTTAGAAAATATTTTATATTTATTATTTTATATGAATAGAAGTTATTCAGATTATATTGATATAATAGATAAAGTAGAAAATATAGAACAAGTTGTTATAACTGATAATAGATTTAAAAAAGTATGCTATTTTGTTTTAGAATTAATTAAGTTTGTGATACAATATATTAAAAATATAAATATTAATATAGATGGGGAGAAAGAAAAAGAATAAGACAGAATCAGTTGTTTCTTCAACTGATGAAGAAAAAGAAGAAATTGTTAAAGAAACATCAGTTATTGAGTTTGCTTGTCCAATGTGTAAAAAAATCTTAGAAATGAAAAATGAATTAGAAATACAAAAGAAAGGAACCTGTAAATGTTCGTGTATTCCGACAAGTTTCAAAATAAGTAGAAATGATAAGAAAATGAATATTGATAAAACTAAAGACAGTATAAACTTAGAAACAGATGTTCATAATATTGCTATCAAATGGGGACGGCATGCATCACCAACCGATAATGGTGATAAGGAAACTCAGGAAACTGTTCGTGAAATGATGAAAAAACAATAGTTAAAATTATTTCTATTATTATTTATAATGCAAGATGGTATAAATAATATTCTTAAATTCATTGATGTAAAAGAATTGAAATTAAATAATTTTATTGAAGAATATAACGAACATGATATATTAATTAATTTTGTTAATGACTTTAGAAATAGCAAAATTGATTTTAACATGTTTTATAATTCTATTAATTATGCTGATTTATTTGAACAATCAGATTTAAAATTCTATTGTAAAAGAATATATTCATATACTTTAAGATTTATTGCTAATTATGATAATAAAAATGCTATTCGGTTTTATGAAATTACATTGAGAAAAATGAATAATATTTACAAAAATAGTAACATTAATGTTGTTAATGTGTTTGAATGTATTAAATGTTTAATAATTTATATTACAGATAATATTGAAAAGTTTCATAAATATTCAAAATTTAGAAAAACTATTATTTGTAATTTAATTGGTAAATTGAATAATAATTTAACGAGTTACACAATAACTAATTTTGAATTGACTTATAATGATATATGATTTTGTAAAATAAAAGTTTAGTTTTAAAAGTTTTATTTTATAATATAATATATATATTTACATGGATGAAGGATTAGAAAAGATTGTTAAAAAACTGAACAAGGTTTTAGAACAGAATAAGAATATTTTAGAAATCTTGCAAGAAATGGAAAAGAAGAAACCTTTAACAAACAGTTATCAAAGTAAAGAAGTAGATAGAACCAGTGCTGAATATAAAAATAAGAAACAAACGTATTTAAACAAACTTAATAACAAAGAAATTAAAGAACCGAAGGCTTCAACTATGACATTTTATCAAATCGACTATGATGAAGATACAGGGGTTTATTCATAAAGTTGCATTTACTCATAGATAATATTATCTAAATATCTTTAATAATGAACTTATTAGAGATGTTTAGCGGAACAGGCAGTGTTGGACTTGTTGCAAAGTCGCTCGGTTTCAATGTTATTTCATTGGATTTGAAAAATGCTGATATAAATACTGATATTTTGAAATGGGATTATAAACAATTTGATAGGAACCATTTTGATTTTATCTGGGCAAGTCCTCCATGCACTGAATATAGTGTAGCAAAAACTAGGGGCATTAGGAATATCGAATATGCAAATAGTATTGTCTTAAAAACTATTGAAATTATCAAATATTTCAATCCTAAGTATTTTGTAATCGAAAATCCACAAACTGGATTATTAAAAAATCAGGAGTTTATGGATGAGTTTGATTTTAAAGATGTTGATTATTGTAAATATGGAATGCCTTACAGAAAACGCACTAGGCTCTGGAATAACATTACAACTTGGAAACCTAGAGATTTATGTAAAAAGGATTGTGGCAACATCAGGAATAATAAACATATTGAAACAGCACAACGGCTACCATCGGGCACTAAGGAAAAATGGGGAGACAATCCAATAATACATAAACAGGAAGACCTTTACCGAATACCCCAAAACCTCATTAGTGATATTTTAATGAGTATTTGAAGGGAAACCCAAAAACCCACGTTCAAAATGCTCGCTTGCTCTTTGTGGTATGCTCATATGCTCATGGTGGTATGCTCATATGCTCATGGTGGTATGCTCATATGCTCATGGTGGTATGCTCATATGCTCATGGTGGTATGCTCATATGCTCATGGCGGTATGCTCATATGCGCATGGTGGTATGCTCATATGCACATGGGAGCATGCTAATTCTGGTGCTGTTTCAACTGAGACCGTGAGCACAAGCAAGCACAGCATCAGGCATTGGAAAAGGTGAGGCTTTCACGGCTCCATGTTGTTGGATGCACCGCCTTGCTTCTTAATCTTACCAATGGCGATTAAAAAGTTTAATGTTCAAAATACAGTGAAAGATATCAATATTATTTTTAAAATGATGTATGAAAGAAGACAGATTTGTCAATTAAATTATTATCCTGAACTGAAATTATAATCATAATAGAATAATAACATGTAAAATATTATATGTTATAATTATACTAAACTTATGGTTAGTTTCGTATTTTTCTTAATGCCTTAAAATGACTTAAAGAAATAGTGCCTTAATATAATAAGAGGAAAATGAACGGTGATAAAATCAATAATTATATCAATAAAAAATGCTATGATTGTTGTCACTTCAAAAAAGAAAATATGGAATTGTATAAATTGAACTTACCTAATGAAATAGTGAATAATATTATTAATTATTCAATGGATGAAGAAGATTTATGTAAAATTTGTAGAAATTGGAGATATTATCAAGAATTAATCAGATGTCTGTTGGGAATAAAAAGAATTCGACATAGAAATGTAGAAGATGATATTTTAATATTTCTAACTGTAAATAAAATACCACCTTATGATTATGTTAAACAGTTTCTTAAAATTAGTATGAAAAAATATGGAATGATGGATGATATATTATGGTTGTTGTGTTATAGTCAAGATAAAGGAGAAGATGTTAAAGAAAATATCAAATTATTTATTGAAAGTAAAAAGTTTAATGTTCAGAATACAGTGAGAGATGTTAATATTATTTTTAAAATGATGTATGAAAGAAGAAAGATTTGTCAATTAAATTATTATCCTGTACTGAAATTATAATCATACTATAATAATAACATGTAAAATCTTATATGTTATAATTATACTGTACTTATAGTTTGTAAAGATTGAAATATTTTATTTTTCCTTGATTTGGCTGACTCTTTCAAAGTGCGTTGTTTGAACTTGGTATGCTCTTTTGATTTTTTCGTGCTTTGGCTGTTTGTATTTTATTTTGTTTGATACTCTTCTGATATTTTTTGTTGGTATGTTGCTTTGTTTTTTGTTGATGTGTGTGTTTGAGTTTGTGTTCTTTGATGGTTTTTATTTTTGCTGTTTTGTTGGTATGCTTGTTTGAATTATTTAATGTTTTATGCTTTGATTAAATATTTTGTTGGGGGTTGTTCTGGTTTTTGAGTTGCTTGGTGGTTCTTATCTTGTTTTCTGTGAATTTTGCTGATTTTGTTGTATGCTGTTTGAATATTTGGGTTTGAGGCTAGAAGTGCCATTTTATGTATTTTTTCCCCCCCCCCCCAAAAACCTACGTAATAGACGTCGGGCGGGGGGGGGTTAGGGGGGGGGTTATCCTCTATCCTCTAGTAAGTATCCGACACGCCGAGCAATGTCGGCGGATATATATATATATATATGCAACACTGGTTCATTCCTGAGCTTTCCCACGCCCATTTGGCTGTCGACCATTTCAGCACCGTTAGCTAATTCAAGCTTTTTAAGCTTTAGCCAGTTGTGGTTGATAGCCCAGTGATTCACTTGAGTCGGGCCCCATGATGAAGGCCTTTTACAATTCGCTCGTTCTGCTTGGTGATTTCTACCTGGAGTCTGCATGACCCTTAAAAAATGGGTCCATGACCCCATTAATTTGGGGCAATGACCAACCATTTTTAAAGGGTCAGAAGGAGACTCCAGGTACTTGCCAAGTTGTTGCGGATTGCGGTGGAAGAGGTGTCCGGACTGTTGACAAGTATCTATAAACAAGCCTTGCGACGAAGACAGTGCCAGTCACCGGTTTTGGTTGCGTTCTTTGTTGCACCCGCCCGGAACCCAAGGTAGCGTGATCCGTGCTTGAAGCCATGAAGAGAGAGAGAGAGAGAGAGAGAGAGAGAGAAATAAATAAGTGAATTATAAAGTAAGAAAGAAAGAAGAACAGAAAGAAAGAAGGATGCAAATCAAGCAAGAACGAAGTCACCGTGACTATGGCCCACCATTGGCGTACTTGCCCATCGTGCGTCGTTCTTAAAACAGTGCCGGGCTGGCTTGTCAGGCAGAGCTGCGGACAGAGCTGGGAGAGGAAAAGGCCAGTTTGCCATTGCCACAACCCAAAGGTCTGCTAGAAGCTGCCCTACGGGGTTATCGGGGTTGGTCATTCGAGGCTGTTTAGCAGAGGCATATCGTTTGATCGGGCAAGGCCGCCATTGTAAAATGGATGTGGGATGTTGACCCCTCAACAAGCGCTCTGGTCATTACTGAAACTGACGGGTGAAAATGCCTCTGGTTGGTTCCATGCCGGGCACAAGAGTGCCTCTGAAAGCTTCGAGCGCGGATCTCTTGGGGAGTCCAATGGAGGGTTCGAGGCTTCTGTTTCTTAGGGTGCTGTCGTGCTGTTGGGGTGGGCAACTCATTGGAGCACTGGAGCTCCCAGGCAAAGATCTTAGCGCTGGAGAAGAAGGTAAGGGACATGGAGGAGGCGACAGGGCTGAGTGTGGTTTGTCGATCCACCGACTCTCACCCTCTTGTGGTTTGTTGATAAAGCAACTCTCACCTCACTGATGAAGCGGCAAAAAACAATGACCCCGCCCCTCATCACACTCAGGGCCGAATGTTGGTTCATGGTTCCAGGAAGCTCGTCATTTGTTTTCACCTTGAGATTCCGACAGCGTCAAGCGCACACGGGCGGGGCTTTGAAAGTGACGTGGGAGAGTGTGGGTGATCCCTGGTGACTGTTAGGGATTTCCCTGCTTGGATTCCCAGAAGAAGGGTTAGTTTTCCTGCTTGGTTGTCCTGCTTGATTCCCTGCTTGGTTTCCCTTTTTGGAGTTGTGGTTCTTCCCCCCAAAAGAACACAGACGTTCGCCAGGGGCTGGAAGGCTCCGAGTCTTGGGCTTGTCAGGCCGGACAGGGCGATGAGTCGATGGACAAAGCGGAGAAGGCTCAACATGGGAACGGGCCTAGCGTCCTCAAAATGGGAAGGACCCCGTTTGGGTTGTAAACGGAAACCCCCGGCGTCCACCCATTTTAGGGGACCACTATTTTGAGAACCTCCCGTACGATCAAATGTGTCCAAGGACCAAATGCTGATGCTGAACCACCCCCTGGCCCAGATTTTCTGTGCATGTGTGCTTGGCTGTTCAAGCCACGAAAGAGCAACGTATGAAGTATGCTGCCAGTCAGGTACAAATATGAACTGTGGCTAGTGGGTGGCAACGTACTCGCCAAATATGGCCTGATCCAAGTACACGCCGATACTCGCGCGGTACTCTGCTGCCGGAGTCATGTTGTGCAGGCCATCAACCTCAACGAGTTGTCTGTCAAGGACTGCACGGTGGAGAGCAGCGACCTGTGAAATAGGTTCTAGGAAGGATCGCACGAACCCAAACACAACAAAGCTCGAAGCAGCCATTTTGGCTCAAGGTTCCTGAGATAGTTGCCGCCCTTGGATGGCTTCGAGGCTCACAAGGGAGCCTCGTGGTGAGAGCCGGTCTTTCCATGCACAATCGCATGGAGACCCTGACGCACTGTGTCCTGTCGGGGACTGCGGCCATTCTTGGCATCGTCTGCTACATTTGCGTTTCCACAACCAACACGGCCAGGTTGGAAGAGATCCACCAAGGGAACCAGCAGCAAGTCTCCGAATCGTTGAACAGCCCTGGGCCCTGGGGCTAAACTGGCCTGCTTGCAACGGTGGTGCCGTGCTGTGGCTTCATGGGTACGAAGACCAACAACCGCACCTTGCTGGGCTTCTTCACCTGCTTGCGACTGTGGTGAAGGCTGCCTTCACATCATCTCAGCATCTTAATTGTCTTAGGCATGGCCGGCCTTGAGTGCCGCGGAGGGCTCCGGGAGAAAGACGGCTGCCCAGGCATCATCCACCTGAGCAACGAGGGGTGCTATGACTACCTCAGTTTAGCAGTGGCCATCGGTGGCGCTGCGTGCCTGCAGTGTGCCTTTGCCTAGTGGGGCCGTGAGCTCTGCAACGAGCTGGCTAGTCTTTGAATCAGACGAGGATGTCTAGGTCATCCAAAGCAAACGGCTTGGAGCGATGTCGGTTTTCCGGCTCATTTGAAGCCACGCCTTATTTGGCAGCATGCGCGTGCGTACCGCTTTGGAAGTCGTAGCTTTCTCCGGTGATCCTGAACGGCAAAGAAAACAAAGCCCCAAGCCATGTTTGTAGATGGAAAGGAACGTCCAAGGCTCTTAGAGGAACCTCCTGCAAGGATTTTTGAGTTTCTCCCAGCGGGGAATATGACTCGTGCATTCGGAAGGTCGAGCGAGCGCAAAGCAACCCCGGCCAGGACACGCTTCTGGCGCAAGCCAAGGAGGCGCCTTTGCGGGGCTCAAAAAGCAGTTCAGTTCCCTTCGTGGAGAGAACACAAACTCTTGAAACAGAGAGAAGACAAGCAGCAGCAACAAGTGAAAACAGCGGGAAAGGCGTAAACCCGGGCCCTTCATACGCCTTACCTTGGATTGTTTGGCTCAAGTGATTCGGCTTCCTCTTGGGATCGGTACCTGGTCAAAAAGCAAAGGGAAGCCGACTGCCTGGTGGGGTCCTAGCCCAGTGAATCCCGTTTTGTTGGGAGTCCCCAAAAGGGGTTGGACCTTGCGAACATCACCCCATATCTTCGGGGAACTGTGGTTGTTCTTAAGGGTAGATTGAGGGTCAGGGTTCCTTTCTTCTACCATGCAGGTGTTTCGGGATCAACCAACTGTTCCCATTTTCCGCCAGGAAGCGCATGCGAAAGAGGAGAAGCACCAAGCTGAGAAGGAGCTGAGGGAAAGCAACTTGTCGAGTGTAATCCCTACTTGGGTGAAATTGCAAGTAGATGGCAAACTTCCAACCCGCTTCGGCTTAGTCATCTAGGCTATACTTACCCACAGAATTGTGCCATCTACTTTCATTCTGGTGTGCTCCGGTGATCCTTTCTGCAGTTTTATGGCAATTTCGTTGTTTATTTCCCAAGGGCGAGCCAGAACGGCATGTTCTTTCTTCCCAGACCCGCACTAAATTGCTAGAATTTCAGTGGCGAAGGAGCAAGAACACTTGGTGGACATCCATGTAAAGGATGGCCATCAAGTTGCTGATGAAACTTCATATCCAATTGTGAAAGCCCCCCCCCCCGCCCCCTTCCCCCCCCCCCCCCACGCGCCCTGCATGCGCCACACGCACCGGCCAGGAGTTGTTGCTGTCGAGCATGGCGCAGAAGGATTCGGAGCTTCACGACTTGCGCTCCGTGGGGCGGCCGAGACTTCGAGAGCTCACAAGAAACCCGTCCGAATGGGTGTGGCTCTCCTGATGGGGCTTCAGGGAGCCAAAGGGAACAAGGTAATATTGCATCTTTTTTAGATAGCTTTGGATTTACCAGTATTTGGGCTAATGACCCCATGGTGTAAAGGCGGAGACCCAGATCCTTACACCTTTTGGAGACTGTCGGCTTTCCCTTTGAACCTGCGAAGTCGAATGCTTTTTCTCATTCGGGAAGACTGCAGGTGGCTCATCCTGCCCTCCACTCGCAAGGAACAAGACTCGGGGGTCCTGGCAGACCATTTTCCTCTCGGTCCTTGATTGAATTGTCTCACAAGAGGGGGATGGCTTGCCAGTACATGTCGGCAATGTAAGGGGCTAAATGCTTTTTTGCTCACGTGATTCTCCCATGATCAGTACCCCACACCTCCAATCTGATGATTTAGTCTCGCCGCTGCGCTGCAGGAACATGCGCTGCAGGACCTTCAGGTGCAGGCGCGGGATCGCGCGAGTCCGCGGCGTACATCGTCAGAGTTCTCCCCAATCAAATCCTCTCTCTCATAGCTTGGTGGCTCCCAGCCATCCCCTTAGCCTTTTTGCTTTTCCGTGTTTAGTGGTAGTTTCCATTTAACTCACTAAAAGTTAAACTTTTAGCGGGATAGGAATTGACTCCGTTTTTGGGATTTCAAGGGGAAACCAAGAGGCCAGCAAGATGAAGGGGTCAACTTGGAGAGCCCTCTGAGCATGACAGCTTTGTTGGTGTGTGGTAAAGTGCAGGGGAGTAGTTCGATGATAACATGTTTCGACGTAACCTAGTGGAGGATTGCCACAAAAGGGGAGAACAGCACACAAAGTAAATCTTGCAACAGAAGAGGTCGGCGGTCAATCCAGCCAAAGTCGTTCTTGGATTTTCAAGCTAGTATGTGACATGGTTTGCAGTCAGCCCTCGGTTCGAGTTGCCCACTCAGAGTGGCTTTCATGTGTTTTTGTCCCAGGCGGAGGTGCTACTTCGGTTCAGCAATGTTCCACAAGGGTGACTCTGTATTTTCAGGTTTGGGCAAGTAGGGAAAAAGCTAAGGGGGCTCAGGACTCAGGACAGGGCCTATTTAGTTGAAGTGGAAGAGAAAAGGACTGACAAGGAGAGCGACTGCGCCACCCAGATTGAAATGAAGCCAATGGGTTTGAGGAGGATTTCGGGCTTTCGGAGGCCTCAGAGACACGGATGCTGAAGCCTGGAGCCGAGTGACCGACTGTGTCGCTATGCGTTGGCCACAATTGGAAAATCACGCGAAGCCAAAACAGAGGGGACGGGTCAAAACTTGGGAAAAGACACAAGAAACGCCTGTTTCTTTGCGGGGGGGAATGAGAGGGTCACACTAGTGCACCCTGACTGCCAAGGAAAAGCCCTTCTTTGAAGGGAGAAAACTTTGGCCACCAAACGATGGCAGACGGTTCAGCCAAAGCCAACACCAGACAATGCCACCCGCACATGGGGGATGGTGTTAGAAAGAGTTTTAAGCTGGGTCCAACTGGTCTCGGCTCAGTCATTCCCAAGTTGTGGGTCGTCCCTGAGCCAACAAACGGATGTGTTTGTTTTTGAGGGTTTAATCTTTTTGGGTTGGTCTAAAGGGACATCAAAAGGAAAGCCGCCATTGTGGACTTCCCTATTGTGGCCAGTGAGGTGGTACGAACAGGGGTCCAAGGCCAAAGGCCAAGGCCAAAGGCATATCCCATCAAGGGTGGTCTGGGGATTCCAGTCCTCACGGAAAATGTGTGTATGCCGGAAGATGGCCATGCCCAAAATCGGCACTCTTTTACTTGGCGTTCTGTGCGGGGTTTGCTTCACTGTCGATTTGCGTCAGATTGTCAGGTTGGTTTAAAGAGAAACCAGAAGTAGAACCACCCTTTTGGGGATCTCCCTGTTTTGACACATTCCGGATGGTTTGTGAATGGCCCCTCCCCTTGCCGCTCGGCGACTAGCAACATGCCGACCTTCGTTGGCCAAGTTGGGCCTTGCTGTGCCCAGCCCAACTTGGACTTTCTTGTTCTTGTCATGTTTTGCGAGTCCTGTACCTCTTCGGTTTTGTTCATGTCCAGTGGGAGCAAAACCACTGTTTTGTTTTTCTAACCTACGCACGAACACAACCCCTTGTGTTTTGGAGGAAACGTGGGCCAGCCGTTTGGATTCTATCTTTGCACGAGTCCATGGCCGAGGTGCCAGCTGGAGATGCAGGAAGACTTCTCCGACGAGCTGCGGAAGCAGCTTGGGGAGGCGGGGCCGACCTTGGGGGTCTTCTCCTACAGGTCATTCTTCGGGAGCTGTGGCCTGGTCACTGGTCCCCCCGTTTTGCCCGCAGTTTTTGAAGGGTTGGACCCTTGCAAGACATCCATTTTTTCAGCCGTCTGCCGGGTTTGGTGGTTTTTTGGCCTGTGAGGCTGGTTCTCTGTTCCAATGCTCGTGCCCAATCCGTGAAAAAAGCGGGGTCCTTGGCACATCTCCAGCAAGAACTTGTCGCAAGTGCTCGATGGATTGGGCGGTTTGCGACAAACCCATGGAAGGTTTCCTTGGTTCTCCCTTGTGCGGTGAAGAGTCACCCTCCAGAGGGCCCTTTTCTCCCATGGCCGGTTGGGTGTCTGGATATACTTGGTTTTGTACGATGGAGCCTTGCAATGTTTTCGCATGGGTTCCCCTTTTGCGCGGTTGGTGAATGATTACCGTGTACCTTCCCTTCGTTCCTTATTGGGTTGGGTGGGTGACTGATTCTAATATACCAACCCACCCAAAATCTGGGGAGGGCAGTGCAATTCCTTTTGCTTTCCTTCTGGGTTTGCCCTGTACATGATCTGAATTTCATCCGGCCTCAAGCATCAGGCCCTGGTCGCCATGTTCCCCTTCACGGCTTTTTGTGGGTTCAATTTCCTTTCCCCTCGGATTTTCCGGGGTTCCCCCAAAAAGCACGCGGCTTTCGGTTGCCGGGGCTTTCCCTCCCCAAATGTCCCACGTCACCCGGGTGTCTCCCCCAGCCAGGTCCGGGAAGAGCTCTCGGAGGCGGAAAGCATGGGCTGGCAGCCTCAAAACGCCCGGGCGCCCTTGGGGGGGAAAACCGACGTCGGCCGTGCGCAGGGCTTTGCAGTCAGACCGTTGGGCCGAACCGTGAGTCGTGCTTGGTTTTGTGGCTTGAGGTGGGTTTAGTGGTGGTTAAAAAGACAAAACAAGCAGGGTGAGTTTAGTGGGGGTTCAGGGTGGGCGGGTAAAGGGAGAATCATGTTGCGGGGAAGCCTTCACACTTCTCAGTTGCCAGACCAAAGGCTTACCTGGGTGACCTCCTGGCCTTTTTGGGTTTCCCACGGTTTTCACCATTTTGAGACACCATCCAAATGTGAACTAAAACACAAAGGAGGATAAAGACCGGGGTCACTGCCAAGCGATGTGGAGTCGGGATTTCAGCCGCAAACATGGGTCGTTTTCCTGCAGCCTCGCGAGGGGGATCTGATTTCGAAGAATAGTCGAGCAATCCTGCTGGCACGCTGGTGGTTGGCTTTTTAGGATGAAGGACATTCTTAGCTGAGTAAACAATGCGGTCGCTCTTGCAGTTGGTTTTGGGGATCGCACATACATATATATATATATATACATACATATTCACTGTTGGCAAGGTTTGTCCATGACTCGTGACTCGATTGAGGTGTTCAAAATGTAGAGCACATGTTCGCCCTGGGTATTGGGAGCAAGTTATAAGGCCTTCGAAAGACTCATGCTGGCCATACCTGGACCTGGGTGGTAGTTCAACAGGTCATCGCCGGAGGTTTTAACTGGGGATGTCGTAGTCAGAGCGCGCGGATGCACTCTGGGGTCTTTGTCAGGCATTGGATCTTCCCTGACCAGCGGATGACGAGCTGGGTGATGAAATTCGGTTAAACCCTTAAGAGCAAGTTGATTAGCCACGTACAGCCACCTGCCTGGGGGTTCCTGAGACAGTCTCGCTCGCTTGCACCTTCGTGTCTTCCGCATTTTGCAAGTGGCGACTCGCGCACATGTTTGGTGAGGCACCTCAGGAGTTGGCGAGCCCAAAGCTCCTTTCTTGGGGGTGAATCATGATTCACCCAGATTCCTTTTGGGTAAATAACGATCTCATCGATTTAGGGGTAAAACCAGCGATTCTACCCGTGAATCGGAGTTCTGATTGTTGGTTTGTCTTGGACATGTATCAAACATGCCCAGATTCTTTGGCCGAGGTTCGATCTAGAGCAGCTCAAGGCGCGTACTCTCAGAATCTTTTGACACGAGATCGAAAGGCTCACGCAGATGCCTCGCATGCGAGCCACGCTGCGCTCAGTTCCGAGACATCAAAGCGAGCTCTGTGGAATTGGGCCTTTTTGTGCATTTGCCATTTAATGGAATTGAGCTTCTGGGACGAATATCAGCATACCCTGGTTGATTTTGGAAGCGCATGCATGTCCGGGGTTCCTTGAAGTTCCTTGAAGACGTGAGGCAACAGGCGTTGTGAAGGGGTGCGGACTGTGTCTCGCAGGTTTGAAGCCAGCTGCGCAGGCACGGCTGGAATTGTGGCCTTATGCAGTCGACTGACGTTTGCCACATATTTCTAGGCTTGTGTGTTTGCTCTGCGGGTCGCGCTCCAAACCTGACACAAACTGTTTTGGGTTTTGGAATTGCGTGATTCTGATTCGACAGAACCTGGAGTCGCCAAGACCCCCTAAAATTTGCCGCGAGAACTATCAACTATTCAGACTTCTTGTTTTTCCCCCCGTTTCTTCTTCTTTTTGAATGGGGGGGGGCCAGGTAGTGACGTTGTTCAAGGATCAACAAGGATCATGGAAGGTTCCCTATATTTCCCTCAGCTCCAGGCGCCCTCCTCCGTGTCGGAGGCTTTGCGCCGGAGGCTTTGTCGGTAAGCGGTCGGCGGGTTGCTGTCTCCAAACCTCCCACATCTACACCAAGCAAACAGAAAAAGTGTCCGATTCTGGTGCATATTTAGACAACCCTAAACTTCCATTTGTTAAGACCCCTGGACAAATATATATATATATATAAAAAACACATGTCCAGTAGTGATAGATTCCCTTGAAAACCAACAAGTTTTTTTTGGTTTAACTGTTACCATTCATGTGGCGCGTCCCTGATTGTTGGAAGCACTCATGTGTTTTCCTGCCCCATTCTCCACATCGACGTTGGTAACATTGTTGCCCTCCTGAATGATGCTGGTAGAACCGATTTGACACCGAGCTTCAGGGTTGAACATGCTGACTGCACGTAGCTACCCATATTGTTATTTGGTCAAAGCTGTAAAATGGTTCCCTCCACCCCATTGAAGGGAAATGGGTTCCTGTGAAGGGGAGCTCCCTCTGGCACCTTGCGGGGACGTCCTGGCTTTTGTGGATTCATGGCCTCAGGTGTTGACTCGCCAGACTGGGCGCGATGGGTTGCGACGTCACGAACGTTTGGTTGCAAACATATTAGACGTCACCCTTATGGATACGAGTTGTTTTTTGGGGTTGATTCCTCGAACTGCTCCTCGCCCACCTCCCCCACAACTCACACACACAACCACACACTTCCTGTTTGTTGGATCGCAATTAATTCCCCAAACCAACAGCTGTGGTTGTCCAGCATTTTTGGGTCGACCTACAATTTGCCATACATGCGCCTAAATCAAGTCCAGGTGGTGTCCCCAACAGCCCTGGAACCCTCGTGGAACCCTCAGGGAACCACCTCAGAGCAATCAACCCCAAAGCTTTTCGTTGGAGGCGGTTTAAATGGAAACCACAAAAGTAAGAGGAAGCTGGAACTCGCCTGGGCATGGGTCAAAATTCAGCCACATCTAAAAAACCCGCAGGTTTTGGGCCTGGCTTCCATTTCCCAGGGCATTTCGGGGGCGATTATCAGCCCGGCCCAGTTTGGGTCGCTGAGGCCATGAGCAGGAGCTGGCAGAGAGCCTCCACCAAGAGCTCAGGGAGGCCGGACCGCATTTCTTGGATTGCCATGGAGCACTTTTGGGTATGGAGACCAGAAAAAAAGTTGGACGCCGGAAGCCAAAACAAAAGAGTCCCGTGGGGCGTCCAGGTGGGTTTGAAAGGAAACCGAAAAAAGGAGAGCGACCTGGAGAATACCCACCCAAAGGATACCGATCTTTGGTATGGAGCCAGCAGGACGCCAAAGTGAGAAAGAGTTTGCAAATCAGTTGTGGGCACGGGGGGCGAGGCTCAACTTGGTTCTCAATGGGTGAGGGAATGACCCCGAAATGAACCATGGCTGCTAGAAAATCTGACATGATAGGAGCAACTCTTAGAAGATAGATCCAGAACAATTGTTTCATCCGGGTGAAGGGTCACTTTGGCTGAACAGATTGAATAGAATGCAATTCCACCAGTTTCAGTTTAGTTTGGCTCCGATTTCCATGGAATCGCTGGAATTCCCCCCTCTCTCTCCCTCTTCGTTGGGGCGGGAACATCTTGGCTTGCTTGAGGATTTGCTGCGAATCGTGCCCCTGCCAGGCAATTGCGCCCTTTGGATAATGCCATCCCTTGAGCGGTTGTCGGACTGAACCACCCATGTCCCAAGAATTCCAAATAGCCTTCATTGATACCCAAAGCCGTTCTGGGAATGGTCCCTTTGCCATCCCTTTGCCATCCCTTTGCCATCTCGAAGCGGGGTGGTCACCAGACTTGAAATACTTAAGTACAGCGTCCACTAAACTTTGAAATCCTGAACCGACAGGCAACTTTGATCACTATCATCGGATTCCACCCTTTTACCCTACTAGGGCCGCTGGGCAACAAGCAAGGCAGGGTTTGCAAGGAAGGGCATTTGGCTATGGATCCTTTTGCCGGGTGAGCACGCAACACCCTGCCAAGCTGATATGCGAAACCGTCATAGCTATGGGGCATGTTGGCGTCCCGGAACGCACGATGGGCAGACTGTGGCAATTTGAAGGATGTAGCGCTTCTGCTAGTTTCATGAACAGCAGTGGAGAGGGAAGAGTATCACCCTCGCCAGTGGATTGTCACCACATCTCAACAGTTCGGAGAACATGCTTTTCAACAAAGGTTTGCGGTAATTTTCTTGCGGGAGTAGGAGGTTGCTCGGAGGCTTTTGGCATTCCAAGTCCAGGTTTCGGAGTCAAGACTCAAAGGATCAACAAAAAGCTGGGTATCACGGGCACCTGGGTACGTGTTAAAACGGGGTACTCGGGTACCCCCCCCCCCCCAAATGGTTGTCTGGACGCAGGTGGAGACTGCTGCCATCGCCACTGCTGAGGCCGTCTCTTTAGACGCACGTGTGAGATGCTGTTGGAGGAAATCTGCTCGGCTCAGATGAACTTCCAGCTTGCATCAAAGGACAACCTGAACCACCCTGAAGGCCCTGAAGGGTGCCTAATTTTAGCTCTTTCTGTGAAAACCATTTGAGGCGAAACGGCTCTTTTTGTCATGATTGTCGAAACGGCGATTATTTGCAGCGAAAAGGTAATTTTGTGGATGTCCCTAATCAGCATCACATTTCGAAGCGAAGCGGCAATTTTCCCGTCGAAACACCTTTTTTTGGCTGCGACACGGCGATTTTCCAGTTTTCACTCGCGTGTATCAAGGATTTGATGCTGCTTGAGATGGCGAAACGACTGAGTTCATTCGAAACGCCTGAACGAACTTAGGGTGTCCCAGGGATGTAATGTGTGTAGAATCCTAGAACTATCTGTTAGAACCCATTTAGGATCACCCAAGGCTTCCCCTTCATGAAAATCTTCCTGTGGGCACAGATCCTTGTGCGGCGATTCTTCTTGAGGATGCTCCGGAGATTTTCCTGATGAAACACGTCCCAGAGGCATTTGTTGTGATGCAGTTTGTCCCGCTGGAGGTTGTCAAAGTGGCTGTACGTAGTACATAGAGAGTCACGGCAGCCATTTTGTTCGGGTTAAATCCGGTTGAGCCCACTCAGATCTTTGCCCGCAAAAGAGATCGCCCTCCAAGCATCATCAACTGGCTTGCTTTGGCCTTGCTTGACTTTATATGTTTTTTTTTGAGATCAACTTTTGGGTCTTTGCGGCCTGAGTGTTGTGGAGCCTGTACCATTTGGGCTCAAGTTGCGCCATCAATGATAAACACTATGTTCTTAGTCTGTCAGCCAAAGGCGAATTTAAGTTCCATAATATTGCTCGCAGCCAGCGGGGGTCACGTAAGGCTCTTACTTCATGTTTAAGCGTTCATGACAACATCGGTCAAACTGCTAGCCTCCTTTCTGGATCTGGCATGTGTCTCTAGAAATGCCATTTGAATCACAATCAAATGGGGCAAGGGAAGATTAGTAGCAGATAGTGCTGAGCATGAATAGGTGCGGCCACCAGGGTTATACCCGTTCGATGCCAACCAAGTTTTGATATTGTTCTTCTAGGGCAAACCAAATTGCAAACCTTGGCAATTGCATCTTGTGGGTCAATGTGTTGCTTGACAGGCAGCAGAAGCTCGCATCCTTCAGATCGAGGCCGTGTTTGCATAGGGAGCGTGCAGGCAGAAACAGTATTTCTATACAATGTGAGGTCTGTCGGACCGTGGCTCTTGGGAAAGTCCCAACCTCAGGTGGGGGGACCTTTACAATCCCTTGAATGACGTTTTTTTGGTCCGCGGCCCTTGCGTGTTTTTTGTTTGAAGAGAAGGGGGGGGGTAACAGGCCCTATGTGGTTTTGTCCCCAATGGGGGTGGTTTCCACAAAGAAAACACCCATGTGTGTCAAATCTGTTTGCTTGTGGGGACTCCCCGAAGAAGTGATCATTCATACATGCGGCTTGGTGGGGGGGGGGGGCGTGCGGAAAAAGCAGCCACTCATTCCTTGTACGAAGTCACAACCAGATGTACGGAGTGCACATGAACATTGCAGATTGCATATCTTCTACTTCTCGGAACATATATTCTGCTTCCTTGGATAGACTTGCTAAGGCGCCTGACATGCTGCAAAGTTTCACGTGCCATCTCTCAAACTTAAGCAAGACCCAGGTGTGAGAGCCTGTGCTGCCAGGCGATACCATTTCTAATTACTCGACACTCGGGATCGATGACAAAAAGAAGAAAGATGTTGAAAGGGCCACCTGGTGGTTTGCCGAGAACCGAGCAATATTGGGTGAACTATAGCGTGAAGGTTCCTTTCTTCGGGCACCCTTATTGCAGGTGATTTGGTTGTTGTAATTATATACCCAGATGAGGCATGCTGGAAATGCAAAAGGCTGATGCCATGGGCAACATCGCCATCTAAATCGAGCTATTGCCATCCTGACTTTGCTCCAACCCCACAGCAGTGTT